TAACTTCGCCCCATACCATACATTATGCCCAACGTGGCCGGGCGCTTCGGCCGATGTCATAGTTTGCGAATCGAGCGATTCGCTGGATCCGAGCGTTGCGCCAGCGAATCGAACTTTGCGCCAGCGAATCGACCGATGCACCCGCCCCGCCACTTTCAAACAGTGTCACTTGACAGTGGACGCTGTTTGAAAGTGGCGGGCTTCCTTTGAACGTTGGGTCCCGCCACTATTGAGTCGCTGGTGCATCGTTCGATTCGCTGGCGCAACGCTCGGATCCAGCGATTCGCTAGCAATTATGACATCGGCCTTAGACTGCTCTCAGTCAGCAGGAGCGCTCAACCCTACTGACCTACTGTGGATCCTGAATCTACGCAAAGCGGTCGTCGTATCATTGGCCCAGAGCTCTGTTTCCTTTGTTTGCGATGTCAATTGCGACGCACCCCGTTCACTTCCCAGAAACAAGAAAGTGAGCCAAGTGGGCGGGGCGTCCACTTAGGCTGAGTGAACGCCCCGCCCACCTCGCTCACTTTTCTGTTTTGCATCAGCTGCGTGCAATTAATTCCAATTCTTCAATCAATTCTTGCGTATGGCGTATTAAGCAGGCAAGTAGGAGTGTAGGGTGCATGAATGTGACCTTGATGTCACCTTGCCAAATCAGTCTGCTTTGAATTAAGTTTACTGCATTCCAGATAGGCACGATCGCAGAACGCACATCAAATGATGGCTCGTATGAGTTCGATCCGAGGACATTGGCCAGAACGTCGATGTTGTTTGACTCGTGGAGACGCTATTCTTTTGGAGCTGTGAGAATTTCCATAGCGGACACTGACGAGAGCACTGGGTCAGTTCGATTTTACTGTTGATTTTCAAGGGTCTGAGCTGAGATCGCAAGCGGTTCTCTTACCAGGGTTTACGCGGTGTTCTTAGCTCACGATTCGGACGACTCGGCGATTGCGCTGAAAAGAATGCATGCGGATCGATCCAAAACCTGGCGATCAGTCAATTCGGCGGCCAATGAAAGAATTAGGTGCACATTGGTCAAATTACTCCCACTTATGACCGTTCGCGATATGGTGCATCGATGATCCTTCCTATTTTATAAATAGCTTATACTACAATTTATATTATAGTTACTCTTCCTTTCGGCATAATCGCCAAATCCTCTAATCGCCGAATCGCGCAATCGTATCAATTCACCTCCTTAGGCTGTGAATTGACGACACGCGCCAGATGTGGTTCTTTGACTTTGGATACAGGAAGACCTTCAGCCTGCTGTGCCTACCTCATCGCTGAGTATACTGTTCATGAATGAGCTTTCACTTCTCCCCTTCAGCTTCTAACGGTACCTACCACCAGGAGTCCTCAGTCCTCATCAAAGTGGGTCAACGTCGAGGATGCAAGAGAGGTGGAGGATGAGAGAAAGGGGGAGGAGAGGCGGTCGTACTTGGCTATTTGCGTAGGTGACCGACAAAATTACTGAAGTTTTTTTCTTGGAAGGGTTGCAAATAAGACTCGGGGATTTTTTTATGTGAGGACAGATATTTCAAACATGCTTTGGATTATTCAGTTCAAAGTACATG